GCCCCTTTGCCGCGGCACGTGCCAGCCCGGAGCCTCCGTCCCGGCGGCGGAGAGCGTCCGCAGGTCGCTGTGACGTGGCCGCAGTCGGCCTCTAAGTATGTTTTTTTGGGTGATGGCGATGTTGGCGCTCTTTGGTGCCTGGATAACCGACGGATGGAATTGAGGTCTGGTGCCTAAATGGAATGGAATGATTTCTGCTACTGATTTGTGTCGTTTTCAATAAAATGCATTGAACACGGAAAAAATTTTTGTGTGTTTTTTCCGTTCTGTGGTGTGAATGCTGTTTCAGCATCTCCCGAAGGCTTCTCTGAACTGGGAAGAGCGAGGAAAACCTTGCTCACGAAAACCTTGAGTCTCTCGCCGTTACTGGTATCTTTTCCAATGTGGCTGTGCCGCATACGGAGAGGGCAGCTCGCGTCCTTCCGAGGAGTCGAACAGATGCTAAATGGGAGGATGTCTTGGAATATCGGAGCTGTGTTTAAGCCTGTGCCCCGATGAGCTGCTGCGATGAGGGTTTCAGGCCAGAAACGCTGGGCGTACAGGGGATTTTGGGGGGAAAGCCTGCTTGGAGACTGGGGGGCGGCCTTAGGGTAGGTGGGAAAGGGAAGCGTCGACGAGCTGCCATCGGAGCCGGGACAGGGTGGAGAGCAGCAGCGGGCTCGTTCCTCCAAAGGGTGTTAACTCTCCCCTTCCATTGCTCCCAGTCCCTGCTGCTCAGGGACCAGCGTCCCACGGGGGGCACGCCCGGCCGTCCCCCATGCGCCCCCGGAGCATCTGCCTCGGAAGGAAAAGCCCCCCAGTCCCTCGACGAGCCGAAGATCCCTCGTCACGTGCGTTGTCGCCGTTGGCTCCCAAAGGTGAGCCGCGCGGAGGACGTCGCCTCCTGCGGGGCCGGGGGAACCGTTTCGGGCAGCAGTTTTTCTTGCCCTGGGGGTTGCCCCCGAATTTCACTCCCCGCTCAGCGCAAGGCCCCCCCAGGGCTGCGGCGAGGGGCACGGGCTTGGCGAGGTGAGCCAGGTCCAGGGACGTCACCGGGAGTCCTCGAGGCAGGTGGTGCTTTGCCCTGGGACTTGGGAGCAGGGGCTGCAGGGGACCCTGCCCAGCTGGTGTAGAGGTCTGGGATGTGCAGCCCCCCAGCTTGAAAAACATGGGAGTTTGGGTCTGGGGTGGGGAAGGGATGGCTGGAAGCGAGGAGCAGGGGGCAGGGAGGGAACTGCCCATTCCCAGGTGGGGGCAATCGGGAAGGGGCTCAGGTTGAGCCAATTACGGTGGTGCTGGGGGCTGAAAGGGCAGGGCCAGGGCCAGGGGGAGCAGGGCAGGAGCCGGAGAGGATCTGGGCTTCTAACTGGGAATCCCGGGGTTGCCGGCACGGCTGGAGCCGGAGCGGCAAATCCTTCGCGGTGAAGCTGGACGGCTGGGCTGGGAGCTGCCAATGCCCAACACCTGCGCTGCCCGGGTAAGTGAAGCTTTGTTTGTAGGTACCCTTCGATTGCAGCGTTCTGTTGGAGATCTGCCCCCTCGGAGATCCTGCCTCGGAAGGAGGAAAGTATGGGGAAGACAAAATGTCAATTATGAATTTTATGTGAAAGAGGGAAAAGCAGGGAGTGCGGATAGTGATTTTTTTAAGATGCCGTGACGGAAACGCAGCAAAAAGGAAGAGAGGAGTGTGGAACTGAAACAGATCCCAGGTACCAGCTGTGTCCGTCCTCTCCTTGTTCCCAGAGCTGGTGGTCGGCCAACAGAGGAGCGTTCCTGATGTCCTGCAGCCCATCGAGCCAGGTGAGAGCAGCGTTTCATGTATCTTTCCATCCCCATCCCTATCCCTGTCCCCCACCTCCCGTGGCACTGAGCTCTGCCCCCCCCAGCACGATGGCTCGTGGTGCCGGGCACAGCCGCA